TCCACAAGAAAAAATTTCCCGGATTTCAGAATCCGTATTCCCTTATATGGGGCGAATTATGTCTATTATCTCAGTCCTTCTTCAGCCTCAAGGACCCAGTAAGCTACAGTTCAATCTCTTGATTTGCTCCCCATAAAAATTAAACCCGTAGTCCAAAAAAGGAAGTAAAACACACAACCCTCTAAGCAATGTCCCAGGAACTCAGTTCTACCTCATTTAACTTATAATGCCAGAAGAAGTCATTCACCGATCAAGCTCAACTATTAAAAATTCAAGTTTGTTTTTGTCGTTGGTTGCACTTTTTATTAATTAATGGCTTTACTTCTTTATCGTTGAAGCCAAACGTATAATGTGGTTTAACATTGGGGAATGTATAGCTGGTCTTAACGTAATGTTACTTCCTTAAAAGGACATAAAGAATTCAACGAGCTGGTATAAACTCAACTTGCGATAGATATAATAAGTATATTAAAGATAAACAGAGCTGACTATAACATGGCCGCTTGGAAGTAAGAAATCTCTTTTATTTCACGAGTGAGCGCAGAAACCAAGTAAAATATTTTTGAACACGAGAAGAGAAATTTCGTATCTCCAAGCGGCGATGTAACGTCCTCTATTTACAATATAACGAATTAAATCAGAGTTGTCATGTACACATGAATTACAAAACAATGGAGGACGAATTCAATTCATCAATTCCACATCATCCAACAATACCGTGATTTTGTTTGCCCCCAAACTTTGTACGAGTACTTTTTTCAATTTCTCTACGGACTCATAATTGGCCGTTTATGAAATTTTTGGGTGTAAATAGAGCGTATTATATGGGATGATGTGGAAGTGGCCAATACCACTTTCGATTCAAAAGACTTCCAAATTGGTGAAATTCTAAAGCGCGTTACTGTTGTTGCACTTGTTATTCTACATCGACAGTCTCTCCCTTGATCTTTGGCTCCAGTGAGAAAGGTACTTCAGGAACTTTGCATTTTTCCAACTCAAACACTAAAAGCTGAAAGAAAGAAACACAAACGAAATTGGTCAGAGGAAGATTCGTAAAATTAGCGTTCACTTTCTCCGCCGATAACTTGAGATGCTCAGTAAGTTTTAGATGTACACTGTCGATACTTGTGAACTCCCTGTTGATAACACCCTCTCATCCGATATTTTACCTATTGTGGGACACCTTTATGCATGTTAACATCAGACAAAAGAGAGACAAAACAACAGTTACCGCAAAGCCCCTTTTAGAAACAAAACTCATCGCATTTTGTGCGTGGGTATTCTTCTCAATTTTCTAGTGCATTAGAAACCGCTGCCTCGTTAGATCAATTAGATAAGCGCTACTCTGCCCAGTGCGAGAAAGCGGGAAGTCGTGGGATCAAATCCCGGGCGGACCAACTGCGGAGAATGCCTTTGTTCGGACATAAATGGATAGCCTTCTCGGATGAGGACGAAAAACCGTGGCTTAGACCCTGTCTCACAGCTTTTTCACTGTTCTGATTCTTGTGGAACACAAAAGAACCCACACTGCTGTTCTTAAAGAAGAGTACGTAAAAACCTCGTTCCAAGAATCCTGGTAACGAAGTTGGTTATGTACACCCCAGTAGTGTAATTAACCTTAAAAGCATGTGCGGTTGTGTTGCTGTAAAAGGTCCACATCATCTTTCAAGCTGCCTTACATGTGACCTGCTTTATTAAATATATGATGATGACAATAGTGATGACGATGATGACGATGATAGTGATCATGATCGTTGTTCTAAATATCTCTAAACTCACTTTCCTTGCTCTCGCAAGAAAAGAAAGGAATTTTAGACGCGTAGCTCCCGAAATAAAATCGCATTAGCCCTCTGGCGTTTTCAATGAATTAACTGAGACGAAACTGTTCGGTAAAACTTACCTCATTATTGCCTCTTCGTAACCATGGCGCCGGAAGATACAACGTCTCTTGTGGCCCTAGTTCCCAGTACCTCCCTAAGTTATGGCCATTTATAAAAGCGACGCCCTTGGTCCAGTCTTTCATGTGAAGAAACGTGTCCTTTATTTCACCTTTAATATCAAATGTCCCTCGGTACAGGGTCGGAGGGTAAGGTTTGTTCCACTCTGTTACTTTTTTCCATGACGACGGAAAGTCGCTCAATCTAGTATAGAAATGGAAACGAAAACGTTGTGCGCCATTAGAGCATAGNAAAAAAATAAAAATTGCGGAGCTCCCTCGTGCGCGAAGCACGCGCAGAAAATTTGGTTATCTATTCATCAGAGATATTTTGGTTTTGCCTTATGTATAATACTCATGCTACATTACTCTAAATTACTTACTTGGAGAAAAAATCTCGTTTAAACTCCATAGGATATATGTTCCAACCGCTTTGCTTCTTACCATCCACAAAAACATCGCCGAGGATACCTGAACGTAATTTAACAAAGTACGTTAAAAACTTTACATTCTGGTCTACACTTAATAATCCGCAATAACAAAAAAAGCGTACTTTATTTTAAAAAGTGCTTTAGTGAAAAGTTTTCATGTATTTAGCACTTGACTACTAATTGTGGACACTATATTTCCGTCTCCTCCTGGAGACGGGACCGCCATTTTACGTGGTCAAGCCGTTGCAGGGCAAAGGAAAGTACCTTCATTTCTCAGTTATTCTCAGACCCCGAGTATTGTTCCGCTCTCAGGAATCGAGCCTGCGACCAACTAATCCTTCCGCGGTCAGAAACATATGAACATATGAACATATGAACCCACAATTGACCTGCTTCCAACGTCAGTGGCTTCATAGCTCAGTTGGTAGAGCATCGCACCGGTAATCGTGGAGGTCACAGGTTCAAACCCCGTTGAAGTCCTGAATTTTTTTCAGGCTTCTTTACGAAATTGCGTAAATTGCGTTCACAACGACGATCATTTCTGCATTTTCATTTCATTTCCGCAGTTCATATATGATTTATTTCATATATCATTAACACTATGTTTAGTACTGTCGAGGTAGTGCATTACGTTACTTGTTTGACAGCTCTCGCTCTCCCACTTCACAAATGGGTACCAATGGCATAAGCCAACAAATACGGTGCCAAGGACAAGCATTTCCTCCAGGGCGGTGCATAGAGAGCTTTAGATTCTAAAACGAGGACGACTAGGAGAACGAGATCTTCTCAATCCTAAGTAGTGATCGCGCGTGAACCAGCGTCGTTTTGGCGCGAAAATGTGATAGCCGTCGTCTTCTTGTATCTTACTCAAATGCTTATTGTAATACTTCTTACTTGAAAATAATTATGACTTTTGGCTTCCTACCCCGTCTACTTTAGAGATACAGAATTTTTTTTTGAATGCATAGCAATGTTCCTTTACCTTTTCGTTGAGTGTTCATGACAGGAAGAATATTTGATCGTCCCATGTTTTCAACCAGAATATCCAGGACATGTTTCTTTGTATCCTGCATTCAGTACCCAAACAATAACAAGTTACAATGCAACCTATAAATGTGCTTACAGTACCAATGTTGAATCCCTCCTGTCTGGGTGTACAGTCAGTTCTCTCTAAAACGGGCACCTTTGGGACAGGCACTTAGTGTCCGTCGTAGAAAATGTCCGTCCTATAGAGAGTCAAATAGAAAAAGTAAAGAAAGACAGGGACCAACTCTAGGTATCCGTTTTACAGGTGTCCGTTATAAGAGTGTCGGACACCTAGAGTTGGTCCCTGCCTTTCTTTACTCCCTTTTTTTGACTCTCTATAAGATGGATATCTCTCTAAAACAGACACTAAGTGCCTGTCCCAAAGGTGTCCATGTCAGAGAGAGTTTACTATATACCTATCCCGTCATAAGTTCTGCAGAATCGTCACGCCCCAGAGATGGGACTTTACCTCACTAAGTAGAACTCCGATATATCACGAACAATACTCTTCGTAGAAATCACAGTAAAATATATAAGACGAGAAACCGACACAACGTAGGCTTGTTATAAAGAATACAATGTCCCAGTCCCCTGAAAAAAATGTGGCACGTAGCTCTTCTCCATATCGAGATTCTACAGTAACAGTGATCTTCTAGCCTACGATCAAACGTTCACGGAGGAGGGAAAGATAAGGATGGGCGAGGGAGGCTGGAAAGGCTCTCTGGTAGGAAGGCTAGCAATACTCCAGTTTTACCTTCGAGTAAGATTTAAAGACCTCCTGCTTCAAAAATCAAGCTCAACATTTTTCAACAGAGACCTTAGGATCGAGCTTTGGCCAACTTACCGAAAACGGCCACCCGCTGTTTGCGGTTAGCGGTTTTACGTTAGCTGTGCTTACGCAAATGAGGGGTAAACAAGGTGCATTATGGGAGATCTGCAAGTGGCGAAAGGCGAACAAAATGGTCACAGCTTGGTACGCTGTATACGAATACATTACAGACCATTTTCAGTTCCGCATAAGTTCAGCGGAAATCAGAACACCTTTCCTGCAAACTTGCGTTTGTTAATCATCAACGAAAAGAAAGAGGACTATGGCCATATTGGTAAAAAAAATGTTCGCCTAAAATGTCAGGACAGCGGTTTTGATTTTTCTAATTAAGCCTTAATACCTAGTACTAACATATGGTCTCGTAGATGTCACCTATGCCATGATCTTTTTTTCTAGATAAACTTGTTGATTTTTTGCCGGCCAGCTCCAAGAAGAGTGCTTGCAGCTAAGGAGTTTGATTAAAACCACCAAAAATAATGCTAATGTGTTTCTTCGTTATTAGACAATACTGCTCTCAGTTATTTTCCATCATCTCGTATCTAAACTGAAGTAAGTGGTACCTGGTTTGGTTTATCCAGCTTTATTACTACTTTCCACAGTTCTCTTTGATCTATGTAGTGTATATTCTTCCACGTTCCCTTTTTCATGGCCGAATTTGTTCGGTAAATGACCGAGCCATCGAGTAAAACCTGTAAAGGAGTAATAGATGTGTTATAAGCAGAGCCGTAATCAACTGTTCGACGTGACTGAACATAAAAGAGGGTCGCCTATCCTTTTTCGGTAACGTGAAGCGTAATTTACGTTTTTATATATTCGTGATTAGTGATTTCTAATACCAGGACAATTTTTACGTGCACTTGAAAGCGGTTTTGGAATTAAGCGTGATTCATGTAACGAAGATTTGAGTTAAATGTGATTCGTGAACTAAACCGTTTTGCGTGACCTGATTTTTTTTGTAATACGGCTTAATTTTAAATCGATTTTATTTTGGGCAATTTTTTAAAATTTGCTGTTTCGTTGGCAAGCAAATTGCTACCGTGTAAACTTGCCTTACAACATTCGGGTCATTAGAATTATTACCCATACCCTAACATTTGATTGAGATTTAAAGCAAAAGGAGTTACCTTTGGGGCGTAAACAGGTTAGTCCTGAATATATTTTACGTTGATTTTTTGTAAAACAAAAGATTCTCAAGTTTTTTTGGGCAAACGCGCCAATAAAATTCAAGGTTCAACAGTGCAACCGTTGAAAACTTTAAAACTGTTTGAACTTACCTGACCTCTCAGGTAACGGCCCTCAAATTCATGAATGTTATTGGTCCGTTTGCAAAAAAACTTGAGAATCCTTCGTTTTCAAAAACCGTTGTGATGGGATAATCTTCTCACTGTCTTCTTCCAACTGCCCCAGTTCGAGCGGTCGCACTGTAATAGTTTTAGCTCGCTCAAACTAGTACCAGCGTGCTACTTATTGTAAGTGAGTATAAATAAAGATTCTGTCTATCTAACCCCCTCGCCCAACCATAGACCACCCTATTAATAAGACCGCGTGTTATTACGACCCTCTTTTTTGGACCGGATGCATTTCCTAAGTGCGTCTCTCGTGGTTACCTGAGCACTATCACTGATATCGTGTATGGTTATTTGCCAAGGCTCCTTCCACAGATCTGTTCGATATAATATGAAGCCGTATCCTTGTCCGCCATTGCTATTTATTGGCAACATCTCCATCGGCATGACATTGTCACTCTCGATGGAAACCTGCCAACAACGACAACAGAAAAAAAAGCATTCATCAAAAAAAATCATGTCTATAGTGTTTCGCCATCACTGCGGGCTCATCACTGCGCATGACCAATGTGTAGGGTTTCAACGACAGACTACATTCGCCACTTTAGAAACGAGAGGGGAACTGGGCTGAGTTAATTTTCGCAAAGACTTCTCGGAGAAGGAAAAAATTGGCCAATAGCTGACCGGCGCGTCCCCAAAAACGATCCCCGAAACAAAAGCAGGACACATTTCGGCGCCAGTATCCTTCTACTCACTTTTAGGGAGAGAATGTATTGATTTGTATTTGTATATGATTTGTATTTTGCGTGACACAAAAGGAACCTCTGAGGAGCTGAGAATTTTTTCACGCGTAAAGAGGCAAGGAAGCAAACGATAAATGCCAGCAAAAGTTACATTCTGTGTCATTCCACCAGCATTCTAAAGGAGTCACGCCAATGTCTTTTTAAGTATCAGAAATATCACTTGGACAAACCACACAATGCAATACACAATTTTCATTAATTTTGATAAATTAAAATTCATACATGGTTATGAAGCTTGGGAAAACTGAGAAAAAAAATCATCTTGAGGTTCAGAGATGAATAACATGAACTATTATTCGGTAATGAATAATACTCACAAAGAAATGTGTAATATCTGAAAGTTCCAAGCACCTCTGCATCTTTACATTATCTAGACGTGATGAAAGACAAAAAAAACCCGGCTGTTGCTAAAAATAAAAAACAGAAGTAACCCGTACAAAATCAAGTATTATATACAAAAGCATGCGTGACAGACGCCAGTTATTTTGGTAAGTTTTTGTAGAGCGCGCGAGGGGAACTGGCGAAGGGGAGAGGAGGCCTCCTTTCCTTTCCTCCCCTCAACTCGTGCGCGCGCGTTATCGAAATTTCTCCATTCACCCTACAAAAACCGGCGCCTGCTACGGGGGCTAGTATTTTACAACAGCAAATCACAATAACATAAATTACCATATGCTCTCCTCTCTGGGAATAGAAGACTCTTATCAACTAGGAAGCAAATAATACATCAATCATTAAGAGTAACTTGTAAGACACATCGCAGTCGTATGACACAGTCAGAGCTAATCACAGTTGCTTTACGACTCTCTTTAGAAATCGTTATGAAATTATGAAAGATATATGAAGATTTAGTTAACCCTGCTACGCACAACCAATAAAAATCCTACGAATTTAATAAAATTCTGGCTGAGATAGTTTCAAACTAGTTCCACTTTCAATTTCTTTGTTTCTGATCTTGCAAAAAAGCTGGGTAAGACAAAAAAACTGGTAATCAAACTAGGCGGACCCTGAATTTTATTTCAACGCCACCAAATAAGGGACCAGTCATTATTTATCGCCGGGGGGGGGGGAGGATATGGGGCTAAAAAAGGTGAAATTTAGCCGATCCCCCCTT